ACCAAAAATAGTAGCAAAAAAATACGTCATAATTTAATGCGGCCTATAAATAGTAAATTTTATTATTTTCTTATTTTTTCTTTAAAAATCATACAGTATTAAATGTCACCTTAAATTTCGGGCTTTAGTTTATTTTATTATTATTTAAAAAATCCCGACAAGATTTATTAAGTGTGTATGTTTTTATTTTTATTTTTTTCTTAGAAACAACGAACAACATTAAAATCTCGGTCACTATATTTATAAAATCTCAATTCAAAATTTAACAAAAGTTTTAGATTCTTTAAATATAACAACATTAAAGATTTTTTCTTATTTTATTTTTATAAATCATGCAACATTAAATGCTACCTTAAATTTTGGGTTTTAGTTTATTTATTATTTAAAAAATCTGGCTAAGATTTATTAAGTGTGTATGTTTTAATTTTTATTTTTTTCTTTGAAACAACGAACAACATTAAAATCTCGGTCTCTATATTTATAAAATCTCAATTCAAAATATAACAAAAGTTTTAGATTCTCAGTTTTTATATTTGCGCCTTTAAAAAAATATTGAACGCTAAAAATATTCTTTAAATTACATAATCGATCAATTAATCTTAATTTTTTAAAAATTACTATGTTTATTTTTTATTAATATGCATAAAGTAAAAATAATTAGTTCCTTTTTAGATATATAATTTATAGTCCTAATATTTGTATTTCATAAAATTAAATATATTTAAAGAAAATAGGAAAATTTATTCAGATAAATCGGGTGATTGAATTAGGGTACTGCCCAGGTTGATTGAATTACTTTTAGGTGATATTTAAAAAAAAAAATGCTACAAGTACATAACAAATGTACATAGAGGTGTACATAATACTCACGTGGAGTGTGATTCATTTTATTTTTATTTGTGATAGGACCCACTTAATGTGAGTGCTATGTACACCTCTATGTACACTATTATGTACCTATAGTATTTTTCTAATTAAAATAGTCAAAAAACTTGACACAACTTTGTTGGTCAAAGGTGACTAAGTTATGTATCAGTTCGACCACACCAAGTCGATTATTGAACCTAAATATAAATTTTATATTGAAAATATTTTATTACGTAAATGTGATGTAGCCCAAACTTCAAATAATCGTATTAACAATACTTTTATGACAACATGTTTCATGATTTATGAATATTTATATATCATTTTATCAAATAAATTAAATAATATTTTATTATAATATTTATTAATATACAGTAAATATAAAGTTTTCAGAACTGAACCGTCATTGAAACGATCAAGCTATTTTATTAAATCATTTGTGGTTTGTTCACATTTTAATTTATAAGCATTTTAATATATATATATATATATATACACATATATATAGTAATTTTTATAATATATTTAAATAAAATATGTTATTTAGATATTTTAACAATTTATAAATTCAAATGTTTAAACTAATTAATAAATAATTTATAAATCTTTATTTTATTTAAAATAATTTTAAATATGACAAAATTTATTTAAAAAATCGTATCGATCCTACCAGTCCAACCGACTGGTGTTGACGGATTCGAAAGCAAATATTTTATTCAAGCGAACTAGACTGGTTATAAATCGGTTCTCGATCCATCCAGTCGGACTGTGTGCAACCCGATTTAATTTAAAAACAATGAATAAATCATGATTATTATTTATATATTTAATTTATAATACATTAGTAATATTGTTTCTCGATGCACGGGCCACACACTAATCTATATATATATAATTACTAGCTAATAACATTTAATAAAACCTATTTAATTTTACCTATGTGGCAATTTAACAATTTTCCCTCCAAAACCGTTACATGTTGATGTCTTTAATCTTTCATTTAATCATTAAATAATTAATACTCATCACTTCAAAATTACAAAAATCATTTTAAACTTTTGATTAATGACAGTTGACCATATAATGTGTTGACCGTATAATGTGAATAGATGTTATTATTGTTGTTACATTTAATTTTTTTTAAATAAAAAATATATTTGAAATTTCTAAATAAATAATAAATAATTCACAAATAAAAGACGTAACAAAATATACATTACATCCAATCAGATAAACGCAATTTTAAAAAAAAAATATTATAATTTTTTTAAATTATAAATTTAATTTAAAAAAATAAAAAATAATTAATCATTATATGTATACAAACTCACAATAATTTATTTATATATACTAGTTGATCATAAACAGCAGACGCCCAAACTACCACAAAAAATTGACGCTCCTTTCCGCCGGAGCAAAATGGATGAAACCGAACCACCTCCGGCCGCTGCCGCCGATGAAACCCTCGACCGCAAGCGCGCGGCGATGCTGGAGCGCCTTTCCAACCGCCACCTCTCTCGCCTCTCCGGCAAGCCGGATTCCACCTCGGCGTCGACATTCGAGTCCACACAGTCGTTCCTCGCCCAATTCTCGCAGTCTAAGCTCAACATCGAATCACGAATCTCCGAGATCCGTTCAGATCCAGATCCGACCCGCAAACCCGATCTGGAAGCAATCTCACTCGATATCTCCGGCCTCGAGAAGCTCGTCGCCGAGAATTCCTACTTTCTGCCCCCCTACGAAGTTCGCACCTGCCTCAACGCCGTCGGGCAGCTTAAGCAATCGGTCGATGACGTCACCTTCCTCGTCATCCCGAAGAAAAAATTCTCCTTCAAGAACAAAGCACCCAGAAAAGCCACCGCACTACCAGATCAAAAAGATGTAGCTGTCGTCTCAGAACCCGAGATAAAGCCGAATTTGGAATTGGAAAAGTTAGGGTTTAGGGATTTGATTGTCGGGCCCGGGTTTAGAAACAGAGAAAACGAGGTTTTAGCGAAAGAATTCGACAGTAATGAGCCAGAGGAACAAAATGTAGAATTTACGCTGTCGGATTTGAGGGGCTGTGAAGTCAGATTGAAGGGGCATCTAAGAGCATTGTTCATGGATAAATTGAAGAACTGTAAGGTGTACATAGGTGCAGTTATGGGATCGGTTTTGATTGAGGGAGCTGAAGGGTGTGTGTTCGTGTTGGCTTCGCATCAAATCAGGATCCATAATTCGAAAAGTTGTGATTTTTATCTTAGGGTAAGGAGTAGGCCGATTATCGAGGATAGTTGTGGAGTTAGGGTTGCTCCTTATTGTTTGAGTTACGAGGGATTAGAGAAGGACCTGATGGAGGCAAATCTTTGTGAGGAGACTGGGAATTGGATGAATGTGGATGATTTTCGATGGTTAAGGGCAGTACAATCTCCTAATTGGTCGGTTTTGCCAGAAAATGAGCGTATCAAGATGGTGGATATTTCGGATGTTGGAATTGTTGGTTGAGTAGGTCTCCTTGCATGCTTCTGGTTATGCGGAGGGCGGGAGGTTTTAGGTGCTTCAAGTCGCGATTGTTTTGCCTAGATTGAGGTAATTCTTTATGTTCGTATTGCACTAATTGCAACATATTGCCTGTTGGAAACTATTCAGAGATCGACTACAGTGTGTTAGACATATAGTTCTTGTTCTTGATTTCCCTTATGTCTTTAGCTTCTTGATATTTTTTTTTTCTACCTGAGGTAACCTTGTACAATTCCTATGTTCTGCAAATTAATTTAATTTCTCTGGAATTTGGACATATTAGGTTGGTTTTCCCATTTTGGTACACTTTTATATTGAAGTATCTGCAATTTTTTTTTTGGAGGCTGTTTTAGTACCTTAATTTCTGGAACTATTGCTTGATTAGCATTCGTTCATTCATGTTTATATCTGTAATGTGAATAATAGACCTTGGTGAGGGAAACTAGTTCTTTATTCCTTTGATTTAATATTCCCATCATGAAGCTATTTTTGGAAAGGACTGCTGATAAATGGATCAGTGAAATGTATCTTGTTATTGTTTATTATGCTGGGCAATAGCGGAACCCTCTGAGTAGGGTGGGACAAATAGGGGCTGAAACTAGAAAAAACAACGTAGTTGATATATAGTATATTGATAAAATATATATATGTATGTGTTTATGTTA